CGGGGCATAAGGGAGTAAATATATACTAATATTGTTTGAGGAGATTCTGACATTAGGATTTGTGGTTAAGTTCTATTAAGACTTTAATATTAGAATTAGATTAATGGTGCAGTTATAATTCTATATTAGACTAACGGTGAATTAACGGAAAAGTTAAATGGATAATCATATAATTAAGGATAAATTAGAAAATGATATGAACCATAAATTAGAAAATCTTAAAAGAAAAAAATTAAAACCTGAACAATATGAACCATTCATTTGATTTAATAATTTGGCGGTCATTTTTTCTACCCAATGTTAATAATTAAATAAATTCGCTGGTCAAATCCGCTAACGCTAACCGCTACTGCTGATTGTCAAATAAGGACATTGCGAGGTAGTTCTCACTTCAATTTGTTGTGTGATTTGAATACTCTCTTTGTCACAAATCTCTCAAGTAGTTAATATGGTTGGCTTTATTAATTATATTTTTTAATTTTTTCATGGTATTAATAAAATACTTGGTAAATAAATATATAGCATTATTTAATGTTATAACTTTGATATTTAATTAGAAAAATAGTGCACAAAAAAAGATAATAGATAATGTAGTGAATATAATCAATTGATGAATTTGAATGTAAAAATTTTTACATTTCAGAAAAATAAAGACAATATAATGAAAATATTTCTTTTAATTAATTTTTTGATAATTAATAATTTTTTTTCACTGAATAAAGACATTGTAAGGACAATGTAGCGAATATAATCAATTAATAAATGTGAATATAAAGAATTTTTATATTGAAGAAAAATAAAGACAATATAACTAATAAAATTATTTATCTTATTTAATTTATTGATAATGAATAGTTTTTTTTTTTTTTTGAATAAAGACATTGTGGACACATAATTTTAAATTAAAGAAATGCATATGTATTATTTTTTGTTGTAACTACTAAATTATTATTTATGTAATTTAATAAGAGTAAAATAGAGTACTAATTATGCCAACTTTGTTTGGGATGAGGTTCGAACCTAAGGCCTTTTTTTTTTTTTATTGAAATCAATGAGTAAGTTAACGGTGAACTAACGGCAATTCTTAAAATTTTAACGGAATTAGTAACGGTGTGTGGGTATTTTAGGAAATTTTAGTGTAAAATTTAAATCTAATCAATCTGAGCCATTCATTTGATTAAAATCTGTGACCGCCATTTTTTCTACCCATTATAGGCCTAACTCTTTTGGGCTCTTATTTGTATAGTAGATTTTGGGCTCTTATTAGTATAGTAGATATAGTAGATAGTAGATAGTAGATGTAGATTGTAGAAAAAGGAAAATTGTTTCATATCAATTTATAACAGTGTTAAATACTAAAACTAAGTGATATGGTTATGATAATTAATGAAAGAATATCTCTGTTATTCAACTCTAGAATAAAACACTGCTATTTATACAATAGAGACTAGCTAGAAGATAGGAAACAGCCACACAATTAACTCTAACTACAGCATTACACTCTAACAAACTGATATGACTAATACTCTCCCTCAAGCTGACGGGGGACAAGGGACCACGCCTAGCTTGAACCGCAAATCACAATAGCGCTTCGTAGCTAGGGGTTTAGTAAATATATCTGCGAGTTGATCATGAGTCGAGACAAAATTCACTTTCAACTGACCCGTGCTGACCCTATCCCGGACAAAATGGTAGTCGACCTCTACGTGCTTGGCTCGTGCATGAAACACTGGGTTGGAGCACAGATAAGTTGCTCATAAGTTGTCACACCACAACACAGGCACCGTCTGGGATTGTAACCCGAGTTCTCGTAATAGTGACTTTATCCAGGTGACTTTGGCTGCAACATCGGCAAGCGCTTTGTATTCGGCTTCTGTAGACGATCGTGCGACCGTACGCTGTTTTCGTGACACCCATGAAACCAGGTTGGGGCCTAAAAACACAGCATATCCCGCAGTAGACTTGCGATCTGTCGAACACCCGGCCCAATCTGAATCGGAAAAGGCATGCACCACTGGAGTTGGTGCCGGAGTTAGCCGCAGACCAAGATGTTGTGTACCTTGCACATAGCGAAGGACTCGCTTAAGTGACACCCAATGCTCCTCTGTTGGCTTATGCATAAATTGGCACAAGCGATTTACCGCGAACGAAAGGTCGGGCCGGCCGTGTAATCAAAAGATACATCAAGGACCCAACTAGACGCCTGTACGCCGTTGGATCATCTAGCAGTGGGGAGTCGGACGTGACCGCAGTGTTGTACGCCATTGGTGTAGAAACGTCTTTGCACGTACCCATTCCGGCCTTCTTGAGTAACTCAGCCATGTATCGTCGTTGTGAGAGCAGCAGCGCACCCTCTGTGTATATAGCTTCGACCCCTAAAAAGAATCGGGGTAACCCGAGGTCTCGAATTCGAAAGGCCGTCGCCAGCTGCTTCATCACACTGTCAATCATGTCAGGATTGTTGCCGAGTAGCAGGATATCATCGACGTAAACCAGGATGTACATACGGATTTGCCCTGAGTCAAAGATGAACAAGGAGACGTCCGTTTTCGAGGAACGGAACCCCACCTGTAGCAAGAAATCGTGTAACCTCTTGAACCACGCACGCGGCGCTTGCTTAAGCCCGTACAGAGAGCGCTGCAATTTACATACGTGATCCGGATAGCTAGGATTCGCGTAGCCAGGTGGCTGGCGCATGTATATATCTTCTTCAATACGACCATTCAGGAAAGCGTTATGGACGTCTAACTGTCGCATGGTCCAGTTGGCAGACACAGCGAAAGCTAGTAACAGCCGGATAGTGGTCGATTTGACCACGGGGCTGTACGTTTCCAAATAATCCTGACCGGGGATTTGATTGAACCCCTTAGCTACAAGTCGAGCTTTGTAACGCTCGACAGTACCGTCACACTTCCGCTTAACGCGGAAAACCCACTTGCTACCTATTACATTCATATAACTTTTGATAGGTACAAGTTGCCAAGTATTGTTCTGCAGTAAGGCGTTGAATTCGGCATCCATTGCAGCACGCCACTCAGGCCGCTTCACGGCTTGCGTATGATAGGTAGGTTCGTCATCATCCACCGAAGCTACTAAGGCAGTCGGACGTCGCTTCATGTGTGTCGTGGTTCGAAGCTGCATGCCGTGGGTGCGGATGGTCGACCTGACGCGCCGTCGTCTGCCAGTCGTGGTGGACGACGTCGTCGGTTGATGAGTCGACGACGCCGTTGCTGTTGCTGACGTGGAGCGGGACTGCACAGCAGGTTGGCTCGGAAGACGGGCCATCGCGGGGGCTGTTGACGCAGCAGTCTGGCTCGGTGGTTGCGGCCTAGGAGGACGTCGAAGTTGAGTTGGCCGATCAGGTTGCACAGCATTCTGGATTAGCCGAACAGGTGGCATAACATTCTGGGTTGGTGGAAGTTGTATAGGTGCACTAGCCCATGGTGATGAAGTAGGCATAGCTGGAACAGTAACACGCCGTGGAACATGTTGGAATGGAAAAACATCCTCATTGAAGCGAACGTGCCTGGCATAATATACCCGTCCAGTCTCTCTGTCCAAGCACCTGTAACCAAGAATAGATTATGGGTACCCCAGAAATACACAAGAAGTGGACCTAAAGTCCATTTTATGTTTGTTATACGGACGGAGACACGGGAAGCACTCGCATCCAAATACCCGTAATAAGTGATAATTGGGTGATTTGTGATGCAAGCGGGAGTAGGGACTGATATTTTGTGTAACTGTGGACGGGAGGCGGTTAATTAAGGGAACCGCAGACTCAAACGCGAAAGGCCAGTATTTCTGTGGAACATGACTTTGGGCTAGTAAGGTGAGCCCGGTTTCTACCACGTAGCGGTTACGCCGCTCTACACGCCCATTTTGTTCGTGGGTATGTGGAGCTGATTGGCGGTGCGCAATCCCCGCGGTGGTAAAAACCGTATGAAGTTTACGGTACTCCCCACCCATATCTGATTGAATACATTTTATTTTGGTTGCAAAATAATTTTCCACATATGTGCGAAACTTGGAGAACACAGAATAAATATCAGACTTTAACTTTAGCGGGTAATACCAAATAAACCGCGAAAAGTCATCAACAAAAAGAACGAAATACTTGAAACCATTTACTGACGGGACCGGAGCTGGTCCCCAAATGTCCGTAAATACTAAATCAAGTACACTTTGACTAGATTGTTCAATTCGGGCCAATGGGAAGCGCGCAGACTTGCCCAGTTGGCATGCTGTACATAGCTTATTTAAAGATGAAAAAGAACCATCGACCGGACAACCAGAAAGAACCTGACGCAATACGCGTGAGTGCGGGTGCCCGAGACGATTATGCCATATTCGGGGCGACACTTTGGTGGAAACTAACGCAACCGGGGAAGTTTGTGCGAGTGCGTACATCCCGCCACGACTAGGACCGCTAAGTAGAACCTGCTTGGTTGAACGATCCTTCACAAAAAAAATGGGAAGGGTGAAACTCAAAATACACGTCATTATCACGTGTGAACTTATGTACAGATAAAAGAGAAGCTTGTAATTTAGGAACATGAAGAACTCTATTTAGCAACAGTGACCGGGAACTTGACGGTAAAGCAACTGAACCTGTGTTCAAGATCGACAGACCTGAACCATCGCCAACACGCAACGTTTCGTCTCCGCCATACTGCTCCACATGATTCAGGGCCGCCACATTAGGTGTGGCATGAGCGTTGGCCCCGGTGTCGGGAAACCAGACGTTAGAGAAGGGCGCTGTGTTGAAATCCTCCTGAGCCTGATGGGTGGTCATATGAGCCTGCGGCGGAGGGCCCGTGTAGTGACCGGGGTGCGACGGTGGTGGGCGTTGGGCGTTGACATCGACGAACCGTCGATAGCAGGTAAGGGCCGTGTAGCCGGTTGCATCACAAAGCTGGCAGCGTACTCCACCTCCGCGACCTCTTTGACCACGGTTGCGACCGCGATTATTATTATAGCGGCCACGACCACGGTTATTGTTAGAAGAAGAAGCCGACGGATGTTGCGCAACCAAGGCCGCCGGCGGATGTTGCGGAAGATGCGATGAGGCAGATTCCTCCGGGGAACAAATAGTGGTGAGTGGTCAAGAGGTCTGCTACTTCCGGGATAGTAAGAGGTGCCCTCTTGGTAGTGAGAGAGGCGATGAGACCCCGGTACTCCGGTCGGAGACCTCGAAAAACGTGTAAATTCTGTTCATCCAGCTCGATCGGCCGTCCTGCCTGGGCAAGTTGTTCGACCAGCACTTGCGCCCTGCCCAGATACTCTGCTGGAGTGGAGTCGCCTTGCCGGAGACCTTGTAGTTGGGACAGAAGGCTCAGCGATCGCGCCCGTGACGCAGAGCCAAGAGCGGTTTCAACGGAAGTCCACACCGAGCGGGATGTGTTGTGACCAACAGCGAGGTAGAGAACCTCTTCTGCCATGGACGACATGAGCATACTCAATATAGATTGGTCCTGTTGGACCCAAATGGCGTGGAGAGGATTGATGGCTGGTGTGGTCGACGTGCCGGCGAGCGTTTCAGGCGGACATGGGAGAGTTCCGTCCACGTAACCGTATAGATTCTGGCCACGTAGGAACGGCACGAGTTGTGCCCTCCAGAAAAGGTAGTTGGTGGCAGTGAGTTTTAGGGAGATATAGTGGTGGGCTTGGTGTAACATATTCGGTTGTCGATGGTCGGCGCCGGCGCCGGCAACCGCATCAGTAGAACCGCCGGTGGAGTCGGCAATGGGAGATGGGTTTTCATCGGTGGCCATAGGATCGACTAGGCTAAACTGATACCAAATTAATGAAAGAATATCTCTGTTATTCAACTCTAGAATAAAACACTGCTATTTATACAATAGAGACTAGCTAGAAGATAGGAAACAGCCACACAATTAACTCTAACTACAGCATTACACTCTAACAAACTGATATGACTAATAATGATGAATCAACATGTAAGTAATATTATGAAGGAAAAGCATGTGCATTAAACCAATAACTCTATGGGATTTTGACTTGTAATTTTTATAACAATTTTTTTCTTGAATTAACACAATATAATTCATATTATCAAGATTAAACAATCCATGAAGTTATGAATATTATATTAAATCTTGCATTACCAGGACTATGTGGTCCAATGGTACCCGGGTTCGACTTTCATTCGGAAGATTATGAGTTCGAGCCTCAGTGGAGGCGATATTGGTTCTTTGTGTTTCAGTAGGTTGAGAAAGATGTAATAGAGCCAGTAACTTTCAAAAAAAATATTAAATCTTGCGTTGGTAGAACAATAAGCATGACCGCAAGTGTATCATAATATAATGCAAAAGCGTAAAAAATGCATAAAAGACACAATAATGTATTTATGTAGTTCATGGATAAACCTCCTACATTAACAAGACTCACAATCTAATGATTACCCACTCCACAAGCCACTAGCATGCATTTTAAGAATTGAATTGAAGATGATAAAATTTACAGCCAAGAAAAATCCATTTTCTTGTAATATAATGATCGGATCTTGTTCCAACTATGTGAATTGGTCGAGAACGAAGGCTCTACCAACGTCTTAAGGCTTCACCTTCATCTCACTACTACAATTTTCCTTGTGCGGATTGCTGCAAATTAAACTCCCAAGTGTGTAGAAAACAATTTGATTTCAAAGTCTTGGTTTAAAACATTGTTGTAGACAGACTTGTGAGAGTGGTCAAAATAATATATATATATATGTTAATTTAAAAGCTCTATGTCACAAAGTGATTATATATAGTTCCACCAAATTCGATAAACATCATGTATGTATGAGTCCTTTTATACTTGCCGATCTAATATCAACCCTTTCTCGCACACCAGTGTGTTCTATTGAATAACATTATTCTTAGCTTGAAAATAAACATATTCTATCATTTATTTTAAACTTTTAGTACAATAATAGCATTTGTGATAATGAGTTATTTCCTTTACAAGTGGAATAATCATTCTTAAGGAATCTTGATATTAGCTATTCTTAAATTCTTAGTAATAACTTTTTCAGAATACTACAAGTACCATTTTGAAATGTACATTTTATATCTATGCATACTAATAAAGACAGTCAAGGTTTGTTTACCTTAGCAAAGTTTAGTCTTTTTCCATCAAAACAGTCGGTTGCAATGGTATGTTTTTCTCAAGTTTGTCTTTTCTCTATTACTGTTCTGGTTGTTCTTTTCTATAATTTGTTATGTTCTTCTGTACTTTGGTGTTTTAGGGAAGTTTTTATTACTGTTTTAGTTGTCATTTTTCATTAATTGTTCCGTGCTTCTATACTTTTGGTGTTTTAGAGAAGTTTTTCCGTATTTGTATCAATATACTCAAACTTATCCTTGTCCATATGGGTTTTGAGAAAGAACACTCACTGTTAGGATTTTCATTGCACCATTTTCTTCTTCTCGAACTAGAAAAATAATGCAAAGTAAATAATTATTTACACTTTAGATGTGTCAGCTTATCAATATGACGATATGATCTTCTTAAAGATGTCAACTCTTGTAAACTAATTAGAGATTCTCCAAAATATCTTCCACTTCAAGAAACTAAGACTCTCTAAAGATTCCTTGTAGATTACATTGTTGATTCTGTAACACTCCCTAATAGAATTTTTGTTGCAACCATTTAATTCTAAGAAATAAAACAACTAAACCTCGTGTTGAAAGATGGAAATTCATCAATTGATTGATTCTCTCCCTGCGAAATAGGGTTTCCTACGCTACGCTCCCTGCGATCTAGGGTTACGGCAAGCTCTTCGAGAACAGACAACCAGACACAAGTGCGAAAGCTATGGATGTCCAGCGAATCATTGACTCTACAGCAGATATTAGCTTGGAGGATGAGGAGGAAAGTGTACGCTTTGAGGATGACGGGTACGGCATCGGTGCGCAGCCACCGGAACGACGGACATGGACGATTGTGGGAAGGTTTCTCACGGATCGAATCTTGAAAATTGAGATGATGAAGAGAGTAATGGCCTCGGCTTGGCGCCCCCTCATGGGAATAGAGATAACAGATGTGCTTCCAAACTTGTATCTCTTCACTTTTTTTGACGAGGCAGACATGCGCCGAGTGGTGGAGGAGGGTCCATGGGCGTTCGAGAATGCTACGTTCCTTTGCCAAGTCTTGAATGATGGGTAGGATCCGGAGCAAGTAGTCTTGAATACAATTGACTTCTGGTTGCAAGTTTATGATATTCCTTTGGGCTACCGGACAGTTAAGGTACTTGAGCGAATTGGGGATTTTGCGGGGGTGTTCTTACGTTATGATGAACGTAATTTTGAGAGACCGTGGACCTCGTTTTATCGGGTACGGATAACGCATGATGTAACTAATCCACTGAAGCGTCGTATGAAGATGATCATGCGGGATGGGACATGGACATGGGTTAATTTCAAGTACGAGCGGCTGCATATGTTTTGTTTCTTTTGTGGTATCATGGGGCATACTGATAAGTTCTGTTTAGCGGCAAGACGTTCTTTGTTATCTCCGGAATAATACCCCTTTGGTACGGCTTTGAGAGCAGGAGGGAATAACCCGGCAAGGGTTTTGGGGGACAAGTGGTTCAAGTTGGGACAAGAGAGACGGAAGGAAATAGGGTTTGGGAGGGGTGGCTATGGTCAGGGGGTTGCGGCGGCAGGTGGGCAGGTAATGGCTGGAACGAGGGGTCGGGTAGTGGAGATTAGGGGGGTAACCGAAAGTGATGGTGGAAATTTGGGCTTGGTGAGGGAGAAGGAGTTAGCTAGGGAGTTGGAGGGGGTGAGAGTGGATCCGAAAAGGCACCGCACGGATGGTGGAGTAGGAGATGGAGTGGATGAAGGGGTGTGTGTGGATTCGGATAGTATGCGGTTGGGGGATCCGAATGGTAGTGGAAATCGGGCGGGTGAGAGACCGGTGATGGAGGAGGATGTTGCAATGACAGAGGTTCAAAAAAACTTGCAGATGGCGGGTGCTGCGGTGCAGACCCGCCAGACCCAATGAGTACATTGAGCTGGAACTGTCGTGGCTTGGGTAATCCACGGACAGTTCAGGAGATTGAGGACATGGTGTCCCGCAAGAAACTCGATTTTGTATTTCTGATGGAGACCAAGGCTAACCGGGATCATGCTGAACGACTCCGGATTAAGCTTGGATTTGATGGTTTGTTTAATGTTGATAATTCTGGATTGAGTGGAGGTTTAGCATTATTGTAGAGGACAAATAATACAGCAAGGTTATTGAGTTATTCTGATAATTATGTAGATGTGGAGGTGAGTATGCCCGGATTTGAAAAGTGGAGGATGACAGGTTTCTACGGCTTTTCAAAGCGTCCGCAGAGAAGGGAATCGTGGGACCTTATTCGTACACTGGCAAACAAATCTGATCTACCGTGGGTTATGATAGGAGATTTTAATGATCTCTTATTTCAATATGAGAAAGGGGGAGGTAATCCACATCCTGATGTTTTATTACGGGGTTTTGGAGAGACTATTGAGGAATGTGGATTGGCGCAGTTACCCATGACAGGATATCCTTTTACTTGGCAGAAGGGGAAGGGTACACCAAACTGGATAGAGGAACGATTGGATAAGGTTCTGACCACACAGGGATGGAGGGATCTGGTACCTGATGCTAGTGTGCTTAATATATTGACCCGGAAATCAGATCATTCTGTTCTTTTCCTTGGGATTCTCAATCTTCGGGAAAGGAGAGGTGGTCTAAGAAGGGGTTTTAGATTTGAGATGGCATGGTTACATGATGAAGGATGTAGGGGTGTGGTAGAAAAAAGCCTGGGAGGACGGAAGGAGTAGGGGGCTGCAGGAATGTGTCACGTTTTGTGGTGAACGGTTAACACGCTGGGGTGGAGACCGTTTTCACAAATTCGGGGAGAGAATACGGAACTTGAAGAAGGACTAGATGCGTGTGAGAGGCCGTACAGACCCGGGGTCTCTAGCTGAATTTCAGAGGATAGAGGACTGTCTGACTAGTATTGAGTTGCAGGAGGATACATACTGGAGGCAGAGAGCCAAGCAGCATTGGCTTAAGAACGCGGATGTAAACACCAGGTTTTATCACAGGTACGCTACTCACCGAAAGAAAAAGAATTCTATTATGAAAATTATGAATAGTAATGGGATTGGATTGAGGGAGATGCCATGAGGAATAATATCTTGCATTATTATCGTGATATCTTTGAGTCGAGTTCTCCTATTATTAACGACAATTTCTTTGAGAGCATACAACCGCGAGTGACAGCTGCGCAGAATGAGGGCCTGTTGCGCCCTTTTGAAGAAAGTGAGATTAAATCTGCATTGTTTTCAATGTTTCCTGATAAGGCGCCAGGGCCGGATGGGATGAACCCTGTTTTTTATCAGCACTTCTGGGATGTGGTGGGTACTGATATTTCTACTTATATTGTCAACTGTCTCAATACTAATACTGTCTCAATACTAATTCGTTTCCAAGTAAATTGAATGAGACAAATATTATATTGATTCCGAAGAAGAAAACCCCAGAGATGATTTCTGATTATAAGTCAATTGCATTGAGTAATGTGGTGTACAGAATTATGGCCAAAGTTATTACAGCTAGAATGAAACCTTTGATGGAGAGTATCATATCTGAGTCACAAAGTGCATTCATAGCTAGGAGATTGATTACGGATAATATATTGATAGCTGCAGAAGTGGGCCATTATTTGAACAGGAAACAATGTGGACTCATGGGTTGGGGAGCTTTAAAACTGGATATGGCCAAAGCATACGACCGTATGGAATGGTCCTTTTTACAAAGAATGTTAATGGCCCTAGGGTTTGATGGAAGATGGGTGGAATTACTGATGATGTGTGTAACCACGGTATCTTATAGTGTGTTGGTAAATGGGGCACAGAGTGAGCAGATAATCCCGACTCGTGGTTTGAGACAAGGTGATCCCCTTTCACCATATTTGTTCATTATTTGTGTTGAAGGGCTTTCACTATTATTGCAGCAGGCACAGGCAAAAGGAGAAATACATGGCTGTAGGGTTGCAAGAGGAGCACCTTCTATTACCCACCTTTTCTTTGCCGATGATAGTTTACTTTTTTTCAAGGCAAATGTGCAGGAGGCCGAAGTAATTAAACGATGTTTATCAGAGTATGAAAAGATGTCTGGACAGGCAGTCAATTATCATAAGTCAAATATTTGTTACAGCAAAAATACACGTGGAGAGATAAGGGATGAGGTTGCCAAAAAATACACGTGGATAGATAAGGGATGAGGTTGCCAATATATTGGGGGTGGTGCAGGCTCAGAATTTTGGGAAGTATTTAGGACTTCCATCGTTTGTGGGCAGAAATAAGAGGGCAGCATTTTCTTATATTGAGGATAAGATAAGACAGAGGATCAGCTCATGGAATAAAAAATTGTTATCACAAGCAGGAAAGGAAGTTTTATTGAAAAGTGTAGCCCAATCTATGCCTACCTTTTCAATGAGTGTTTTTTTACTGCCTATGACTTTATGCACTGCTATTGAGGAATCGATATTGATGGAGGTCCAAGAATGACCAAGGTATACATTGGAAGGCATGGGATAAACTATGTATTCCAAAGAAGTATGGAGGTTTGAGATTTAAGGACTTACATGCCTTTAATCTTGCTATGCTAGGGAAGCAAGGGTGGCGTTTTCTGACACAGCCGCAATCATTAGTTTCGAGAGTTTATAAGGCCAGGTACTATCCCACTAATTCTTTCTATGATGCATGTTTGGGTAATAACCCAAGTTTTTGTTGGCGGAGTATTTTGGCGGCTCAGGAGTTAATTTGTGGGGTGTGAGGAGGAGGATTGGGAATGGTAAAACAACGTTGATTTGGGACCACCCATGGTTACATGATGAAAACCACCCGAGAATACAAACAGAAAAACCACCCCAATTGGCGCAGGCAAAGGTGATGGGTTTAATGGATCAACAAATTGGAACCTGGGATCCGGATATTCTCACGGATATTTTCATATCGGAGGATATGGAATGAATTAAAAAAATACCTGTGTCACCTGATTATGATGATTTGTGGTACTGGTATGGGGATCCAAATGGTGAATATTCTGTCAAGAATGGGTATAGGAAACTAGTGGGCAATTACTCCCCACCACTAGGGACCTTTGATAAATGGAAGATTTTATGGAAACTCAAAATCCCACCAAAGTGGAAGACATTTATATGGAGAGCTCTGAGTAATATTTTGTCCACCACAAACAATCTACTTATAAAGAGGGTGGATATTGAATCCAACATGTGCTATGTGTGGGGCTTCACATGAGGATATTGTGCATTCTTTGATCACATGTGGCTATACAACAAACATTTGGACACAATCTCACCTTCCAATCCCCAATAGTGTCACAAATGTTTTCAGTGATTGGTTTAATGGTTTGATGAATATTTTAGATGATAATGAGATTATTTATGCAGTGGCAATTCTATACTACATTTGGCGTGTGAGGAATGGGGCTGTGTGGGACGCATGTTTGCCCAGGCCTCAGAAGGTAATTGCGATGGCGTCTTCAGCTGTACACGCTTGGAAAATTGCGCACCCGACACATACACAGCTGCAGCCCAATGCGGCCGTGATGGATCAAGATGGAGCCCCAAACACACGGCTGCTAGTTGCCGCAGACATCACTGCCGAACCGGCAGAGAATGGGCTGCCTTTGAGCAGCGCGGTAATGCAGCTACACGGGCAGCAGCAGCCACTACCGAATGTGCCACACGCGGATCCCCTCAAGTGCTACTTCGACGCGGCATACGACCCACAAATGAACAAGGCGGCAGTGGGTGCAGTTATTCTAGATGCGCAAGGAGGATATATTTCCGCAATGACCACCCCTATGTCAGATTGTTTTACACCTTTAATGGCGGAGGCTCTAGCGTGCAAAGAAGTTTTGTCATGGTTGAGAGGTCGCTGTATAGACTCTATCCAGCTCTTCACGGATTGTTTAGTATTACAACAATATCTATCATCTACGACTCGATCACCACGGTCTTACTTGGGCTATGCCATTGATAGCTGCAGGACTGGTATATTGGCTTTTGAGTACTGTTTAATTCGATATGTTCCTAGATTAGATAATTATTTAGCTCATACTCTAGCATCTATTGCCTTTACTCAGACGACTATTATGTATTCGGACTCAAGTCCACCAGTTGCTATTTCTGCATATTTTGAATAAATGCCGCACAGGCTCCTTTAAAAAAAAACCTCGTGTTGAAAAATTAGTTAAAATGACATGTTAAGTGATCATTTTAAGGCAAAGTTTTGAGTGTCATCCACTTCCAATTTGGGGTCAAAGCATATTCATATTCTCCTAAGTGAGAAGTTTAATTTGATATATTATACATTCATAATAGATAATGAGTGAATGAGAAAATTGATTCTCAAAATGCACCTGAGTTATAATAATAAAAATGGAGTTTGGGAAGACTTTTAAGAAAACTTTGTTCCACATTAAAAAAAGGGGTGTGAGTTTGCACTAGTATAAATACAATTCAACTTTTTAAAGAGTTTAAATTATATGATATAATCTCTTTGTTGTCACAAGGAGTGGAGGGATAAATTACACATGGTGTTTATTTTTTATTTTATTTTTTTTTAAATAGGAGTCAAATAAATTATGAATAAAGTACAAATAAGGCACTGAACTATTTGAAAAATAGCAATTAAGCCACCGAACTCAAATAACCCTCAAATAAGTCATTGAACTTGAAAAAAAAAAAAACAATTAACATTTTTAACAGGTTAACTCCATGTTTTATTGACTAAATCGCCAAATGTTTATTTTATTTACGTTTTTTTTTATTATAATCCACCTATATAGTAATAAAGTAATTATAATCAAAATAGTTTTGTCTTGTCTAGATCTAATTTATTTAGTTATTATTATTTTTTAAACAGAAGATCTAGTGAAAAAATAATAATAAATCAATCAATCAATCAAATCTCAACAAGACAAAACTATTTTGATTATAATTACTTGATTCCTATGGAGGTGGATTATAATAAAAGAAACGTAAATAAAATAAACATTTGACAATCCAATCAACAAAAACTTATAGTTAACCTGTTAAAAATGTTAATTACTCTTTTTTCTGAGTTCAATGGGTTAATTGCTCTTTTTTTTCCGGATTCAATGGCTTAGAGTCTGTTTGGCGGCGCTTATTTAGAAGCGTATAGCTTATTTTAAGGTACTAATAAGCTATAAACTCTGTTTGGTGATGTTCCCAAACTAAGCTCGTATCTTAAAATAAGAGCTTATTTTGGAACGCACATTAGGTAGCGTTTAAAAATAAGCTAGTAGCTTCCTAACTTTTTTTTTTTTCATCTTTATCCTTATTATTTTAAAGATCGAAATGACATCATTTACTCTTCCCAAATAAAATTTTTTTCTCTTCTCCTTTATCCGCAACTTTCACCGCAATTATTGTTATTGTTATTATTATTATTATTATTATTATTATTATTATTATTATTATTATGTCTTTTTCAAGTTTGTCTTTTCTCCTTTACTGTTTCGATTGTCCTTTCCTATGATTTGTTCTGTTCTTCTGTACTTTTAGTATTTTAGAAAAAAAAATTTGTAGTTGTATGGTATTCAAATTAAATCTATCCATTTCTTTTTAGTACTTTAGAAAAGTTTTTGTATAACTGTATCGATATACTCAAATCTATCCATATTCATGTGTTTTGAGGAAGAATACTCACTATTAGGGTTTTCATTGCACCATTTTCTTGTTCTCGAACTAGAAAACTAATGCAGAGTAAATGAGACAATTCTAAAAAATCCATGTAAAAAGCTTATTCTTATAGCTTTATTGAACAGTAAATTAAAGAATGGATTAGATAATTTTTTAATATTATTATAATAGAATCTTAGCATCATTCACCTATCCAACGTTAAAAATGACAAAAAGAATGTTCAAAACATGCAACTATTCTAAACCTTAATATATGCAGCTTTTCTGAAACTCCTTCCAGATTGCTGGTGATGGGTTCTCATTTGTTGTCATGAAAATGGAAGCAAAAAGCTATATATAAATGAAGAGTAATAGTTTGAAAAGAATCATTTTTGGTTCACTTGCATTCCATGGATTCTCCTTGACTGTTCATCTACACAAAATTGTCTATCATCTAACATATCTACTACTTGTACACTACAACCTCCAATTTCATGTTGGTTTCCAACAAAAAAGGGCACTACATCTGCATCTGCACCGGGGAGTTGTGTGAAGTGATCACCGCCACCGTGTTCTTTGCTCAGTTGCAAATTTTCGTGGTGGGGGAGTCTGATTTCCATTCCCGGGTCAGTGTGTTGTAGGGCGGGGGCAGGGGTGGGGGAGGGCTGCACTTGAAAGAATTCTTCGCGGTCTTGAGCTTTTACGCTACAAACTACTTCAGCTTCGCTGCCTGTCAATGATGAAGTCGATTCCTTGCTTGAGAGCTTAGAGCTCTCACCACAGCTTCTGTCATCCACAGAGTTATGGTGTACAGTTGGAAGGAATGAGTCCTCGTTAGAATCTTTTCTGGGTTCTGGAGCTTCTACGCCACAAACTGTTTCATCCCTCGGTTGCAAGTTCACACTGTCAGAGTTCCTGGTTTCTTTGGCAGCGGTTTCATCATAAGGAGACGAGTTCTGTTGGAATAGTTGATGAGCCTCGGTTGTATGGTCATTTTCACAGGAAGGTCTGGACTCGGCTGGATCAACAGGTTTAGATGGAAACGAGCTTTGTTGTCCATTTTCATACAAACACTTCTTCAACCATACAGTTCCGGGAAACACCATGAGGTTGATGTTGCTCAAGCTCCGCTTCTCGCTATCTTCCAAGGGTTCGAAACCAAAACCTACTGTCCATGTCTCCACTAAACTGGGAATTGCAGATACTACGAGCTTCTCAACCTTGAAAGATTTTAGCATCTGGATCCACAATCAAGTTAATGTGTAAATTTGACCCATCAAGACCGCAAAGAACTTGAGATAAAAAGAATATCAAGGGTTGCAGAAAGAGAGATTTTTTTTTTTTTCTGCAGAGAAACAGTACCTCCTCTAGAGAATTCATTAGGCGGCGGCACATTCCCTGGCGGCGATATTTGCTGCAAGTTGCAATGAGGGGCATCTCTGCAACCGTAGCCCCGTGGATCCTGCATCAGCGTCAAATCTTCTACTCATAAGAAAATTCCAACATGAAATAAGAGGAAAACTAAACCCTTTGAAACACAGATATATTGCAAATATAGGAATTTGGGCGGGTAACTTGGAAGGAATGCCTTTCTAAATTTCCACCGTCTCAAAAGTATTATGACAACAGTTGGACCTTTTGCTGTCAAAACTATTGATTTTTACAACAATTCAATTTTTTTACATCACCTATATAAAGGTACCAAACAGAATTGTAAAGACAGCAGGTTGCTATGCTTTAAGATTATTTAAATTGCCCATTGTTTTAACAATGCAAATCATAGAAAAATCAGAACAAAGTTTCGTGGTTTCATCTGAAATAACATTGACAGAAAGGCAGAAACCAAGCGAGAAGTAAACGTGAGAGGCTGGAATTAGCGTTGATTACCAAAAAAAAAAAAAGCAAGAACAAATGAAAAGGAGATGATACACATGCTAATTAGCAGTTAATTTAGGTTTCTCTGTAGTCTGAAATTTTGCAAGTATTTTTGGGGGGTTTCATGAGTTTTGTGTTTGAGTTTTCTACGCGAGGGAATCACGATGAATTTCTTGATATCTGTAGATTTATAGTTTGGGGACATTGAACCTTGTTTCAAGTGTGTTTCCTAAAACATTTGCTTATTTAAAAAAGGAATGACAAGCATGTCATCAAAAGAAATCATACACCATAAGTTACCTGATTGAAGCTACGCATATCAACACATCGTCTTTCTCCAAGACTACAGTGTAAAATCCGTAATAATTTAGACGTGAAAATTGTGATCTGCGAAGAAGTAATCAGGTTAGTCACAGTGGTTCAACTTAAGAATCAGAAATGTTATTATTAAGATAACCAAACCCCCCGTTTTTATTTATATAATAAGATACAGAACTAGCTTTAGGTAGAAGAGATTAACTATCCATCAGCCAGATGCGTATTGCACAGAGATGCGTTGATCATAACACAACAGTTCAACCAAATCTTTTATCCGACAGTAGAAATAACTAACAATGACTACTAATTCTGTAAGCCATGTTAAAATGTACGGAGATAAAAGGGTAGTTTTCCATGTTTGAAGAAGGGAAGTGCAGAAAACAAAATTTTAAGAAGCATCGAATAAAGTTTATGTCCAAAAGAAGATGCACTCACCCCCAGTTGTAGATTACTTGGGGTATCATGTCTACACCGGTTCTAGGATCCACCATTGGAAGAAAGCATTCCTCCATGATTGTAAGAGCAACGGCTAACTTGGAGTTGCACTCTGCTATCAAAGCAACAAATCGCTGTGCAGAATGAACTTTCTGGTCACCAGGAATACACCTCAGAAGTGTCCAACAGAGGCCATCGGAGAGAAAATTTGTGAGCCCAATGCGAGACTGTAGACCTGAGTATACCTGCACGATACCTTAAGTTATTTTGAAAGACAACATGAATGACCATCATCGACCAGATAAAGTACAACAGTGAAATCATTATAGTTCAGTAAAACTACCACAACCACTTCAAAAACCAAGCATTAATTTCCAATCTGCAAAAATGAACCTTCTCAAAAGCAACAAAGCAGTTTCCATCTCTCAAATTTGTTTTGTAATACGAGTGTTTGGTACTTTTAACCTCTAACCAAGTTCGAAGATGAATTTATTGATACCATTTCCATCTCTTTGGGATCATTAAGGAGCATAAGTAGACAAAAGTTCATTCAACAACCAAAAGATACTCATAAAACTAGGCATACAGCATGCTTCAAAGTCATAAATCGCAATTAAAACAACAGATAATCAAAGAACAAAAACTCCCATTGGATCAAGACTATTTACTGAGCATATCTGTATAACAGGAAACTTCACTATGTATAGTTAGATATTTCCAACTAATACGATTTAATCTTATGCTGGGAGAATCATAAGCATTTAATGAGTTAATCACCATTTTGGTCCATCAATTGTTTCCCAACTGTCAATGTAGTCCCTAGTTTTCAATTTCAACCAATTTGATCCTCGAATTGTTTAAAATTTTGTCAATTAAACCCTTTCAGGACCAAATTGACCAAATGTGGAAATCACCATTTTGGGGTCCCTCAAAGGGTTTAATTGACGAAATTTTAAACAATTTGAGGATCAAATTGGTTGAAATTGAAAACTACGGACTACATTGACAGTTGGGGAACAATTGATGGACCAAAATGTTGATTTCCCCTTTAATGAGTTAATCACCATTTAATTGTGTCTCGACATTTCATATTATACTTTTGACTTTTCAAGAGAGAAGCATGTATATCAAAGTGGAAATATACCTCAATTTATTATGGCATTAAAGACCTACTGATGGAAAGAATGATCTCTAATCCTTTCTTTTTAATTGAACATAATAAGATATCCGATGTTTTACCTCCTGACATCTTTCCCCACAGAACCAGGTCTCAGATGCCTCTCCACCTTCTCTGCCCTTCTCCTTCAAGCATGCCTCATGATCTGTTCATAATTATCAAGGTTATCCAAGACTTGGTTACAAATAAGAAAAGAATGACATAATTTCTACAAGGGAAAATCAATGTTTTGGTCCCTCAATTGTTTTTCAACTGTCAATTTAGTCCCTAATTTTCAATTTGAACCAATGTGATCCTCCAATTATTTTAAATTTCATCAATTAAATCCTTTAGCCACTATTCCGTCAGTCAGCCGTTAGTTACCCTAATTTTAATGGGCATTTTAGACATTTCTCATTACCTCCTTCTTCTCTGACTTCAAGTCGGCTGGGGACAGCTCCTTCGCCACCAGCCCTCACATCACTACTAAGTACTAACGCGGTTTCCTCCACCCTAGGAACCAAAAAGCTGCTGCAATTGTCCAAAATTGAATCCAACTCTTTGATCAAATTATCCTGACCTTTGGAAGCAATTGTTAGTCCATAGTTTAACATGTCATTTCCCATATCCTTTTGTTTTTCCTTGTGTTTCTCTTTCTTCTTCCCCTTACCTTTTTCTTCATCACTTGAATCTGAATCATCGTTCACATTCGGAAATTGAAATGAGAAGAAGTAATGCGAATTGTCGAGCTTTACGGAGGCCAGGTCCTAGGTTAACGGCCACTGGATCTCGTCAGCAACCCTGGCGAAGACTGTGACGGCGTTATCTCCTTGCCGGAGACTGACTAGTAACAAGTCTCCAGTGGCAAGCTCGACGGAGTACTGCTTATCGATCAAGTGGAGGATCGCGCCGGGAACAATGAGGAAGGTTTCTTCAACAGCCTCCGGAGGGGCAGATGGGGAATGGTGATAACCATGAACAGTTGAAGGTGATAAAAGGGGTAATGAGAAATGTCTAAAATGCCCATTAAAATTAGGGTAACTAATGGCTGACTAACGGAATAGTGACTAAGGGATTTAATTAACGAAATTTAAAACAATTGGAGGATCACATTGGCTCAAATTGAAAATTAGGAACTAAATTGACATTTGCAAAACAATTGAGGGACCAAAACAGTGATTTTCCCTTTCTACAAAAATGAAAACTTGCCGAAAAAAGAACAGCAGATTATATAGAATATGGACTCTCAAAGACAAAAGAAGAATGCAAATTAGTCCAGTAGCTTACATTTATGTTCACACTGGGCACATTTTAATGCACCAGAGGATGCAGAACTGGTTGCCTCATTATCTTTAACCACATCCCCACAAATCTGGCATGTACAATGCGGACAATACCAACTGCCTTCAGGAAGTTCCTGAAAAAACAGGAATAGAATAGGTTAATTTATTCATTATCAACTAATCACCAATACAAATGTGTCTAAAAAGCATAAAATGTTAACCTCAATCAACAATTGAATATAACTATAGCTATTAAATGCCTGATCTCTTGCCAATTTTAATTTACAAGAAAAATGGAAGGCGAAAAACCCACAATTCAGAGGTAATGCTTAAAAGTTAAAAATATTTGCTTCTTCAAAAGCATAAACGGAATAACAATTAATGAATCTAAACGTGGGGAAAATGACAGAAAAACAAATGGAGATAATGATCCATCATATTAAATCATCTCTATTAATTTATCAATCAAAAAAATAAAATTCAAATTATTTGAAAAATTAAAATAAAATAAAATAAAAAACATTAAAGTCAGTACAATACTCTATTTGTTTAATCAGGTTGGACATAGCACAGTCAATCAAAGCTAAATGAATTTCACAGCAAACATGCATAGAACTTGTGACAGTGAAACCCAAATCCAAAGGAAACAAGGCTACAAGAGGGCTAGCTAGAATCAGATAAAAAAACTTCTTTTCAAACCTTTAAGATCCTATCTTAAGCCAATATACTCAGATAAATTGTTGATTCAACAATAGACGAACATCATCTTCATGATGATATTTCCATAGCAATCTCTGCGTATGAGTGCCTCCATGAATCCATGGTAAGTTTAAGATGTTTTTAAAGTGGTGGGGACTCAAGTAACAGGGTCAAAATCTTATAAAAATGAGGATTAGAACAGCACTGTAAATCTGTATGGGCCACAAAAGGATCTGAACAAATTTATTTCAAGTTGACTCCAAAATGGAAACATTACTCCATCTAGAATAAAGTGCAATACTTTCTCGACATTGGACAGATTCAAATGTAAAGAATACAACTATAAGTCTATAGTCCATGGTCCAATTTTAAAAATCATGAAATGCATGCCTAACAAAATTCCAATAGTTTGCAGATTTTTTTAATAAAGTCAGGAAAGGAATTAATGTAGGTCATTGAAGTTGTCAATATTCTGGTTAATTTATCATGAAAATATGCTCATTCTTGGATGTGGATACATTTAGTGCTTTCTACAAAATGTGATTGCATATTTAAAACGGACTATGGAGAGAGATCAACTTGGGATAAATGCTTCAAATCCACTCTCAAAGCCTAGGGCAGATTTACAAAAATTCCACTACAGGTCTATACAAGAGTCATGACATCACTTAAGAATATTAATATCCTTGCTAAATTTATTTTAAAAGATGCAAATTTTTGGAATTCGGTTCGGTATGCGTTTATTGATTTGTCCAAAATGAGATCATGTTTGTATTGACCTTACATTAATCAGTCCTAGGTAAGTCATGCCTAAACTTTGGTAAGTGATTCCGAAAAGTCACTCATTCTTGAATGTTGACACATTCAACACTACTCTTTGAAATCCTTTTAATCCTAGCACAGATTCATAGGAACTCCACAACGGATCTATATAAGAGTAATGTCATTTTAAAACAAGCAATGAATGCATCCATATTGAATAAGCAACTAGCACTTCTCCACAACTGGTCTACCATTTCCTTAATAAAAAAACTTCACCACCGTCGTCCTTACTACTTGTGCATATAAAAAAAAAATTGCTTATTCCTCCTCCCATTTAGTAAACCTACTTTGGTTGTTATGTTAAAACTTAAAATTCTAATAAATCAAATTACTTGAAAATAGCTAATTTATTTATATATTCTTAATCTGATGTGCCATCTTCCCTCTACTTCGTATCTTTTTTACTTATATCCAACAAATATATTAAATAAAACTTTAGTAACTACAATACAGATTACATAGCAACTAGAAGAAAAGGGAAACCATGGCTTGTTTTTAGCTATTTCTATCTGTCTATATTCATCCTCTCTTTCTTTTTTTTTTTCTTTTTGAAAGGTGTGTTTTCCAGTTTATTACTTAGAGATCATAATCTTGAGTCTGTCTTATACAAAGCATGTCATTCTCTGTTATTAATACATCTGTAAAACAATAGAACAATCCAGATAACCTTCCTGAACAAAAAAAATGTGTTTGGTATGGGGTAAAATTAGAGGGGCTGAAGGAAAGATAGTAAAAGGATGGGTAGGTTACCTGTATTGATTTTGGTTAGGAAGTGAAAGAGCAAAGTAAGTGGGGAGGCATTTCAAGTTAGCATGTCAACCCTCCAAACTAGGACTGGAAAATGTAAATAACCTTTACCTCCTATAGAGACAAGTGTATATGGCAGACAAGCATTTCACAAAAAAATGCCCATATGTTTTCTGCCATATATACAGTTTTTGTTGATAAGTATGTTGTCTGTACTAAGAAATATGATCAATCATAACCATGAAGACCACTTTTTGTTGCATTAGCACCATTAGCCATTTAAAAACTCGAACTCATCCCTTATTATGCGGGGATGGGGGGTGGGGCCTTCATAATGAAGCTTGAACTCACCTACTTCAAATTTGAAGAAGTGCAGCTCAGATAATAGAACCAAGTGAGAGAATCCAGTGTGAAAAAAGTTATAAATAATTAAATATTTATAAAAGGTCTATAACATTTGAAAAGCAATTAATGTATGAGATTACATTTACTAGAAAACATGACATTAACACCTAGCTTTCATCAGATGATAACTTGAGAAATCACCAGTCTAGCTTGCTAAGAACAGAATGGAACTGCCAATTTCAATATTGCTAATGTCAAGCAGGTTCACAACAACACATTGTTCAAGGTGAAAACAATTTACACCTTTACTCCCAGGCTCCCAGCCAAGATTTCCATGTGAATCAAATAAAAAACTGAGGGACATGTCCTTCAAGCTGGATTCAAGTGATTAAACAGCGAGTGATCAACTTGACTTGTTTCCTCCTCAGGTGAATATAAAACTATTAGAAATCATGAGATGGAGGTTGAGCAGGTGGAAAGGGCCACCACCAAGGTAAGATGGAAGCACAATTAGAGAATAAACCAAGAACAAGAGACAGAAATATTATACTAAATAACTTGGATAAAGTAATATGAAGATTACAATCACGAAGGGTATTTATACTACCCTATTAGGGGATAGCTGATACAAAATTAGGAAACCTACCATCTCAAAAATTTTCTGGATAATAAGGAAATATATGTAATAAACTCCTTATACTTCTGGTCTAGAAATCAAGGATTCCCAAAATTAAGTTTACAATACCTCCTAAACTCAAGTCAGGAATACTCTAACTATTATAACAAACCAAGTTGTGCTAGATTTGGAATATGCCTTTCATCACATTGATGATGGTAATCTAACGCAAGCATTTTGATGAGAAATAGATACTATCATATTTTATAAAGAAAAGAATATCACTTTAACAGAACATGGTTCTTGGGAGCAAACAAAATACAAAGCAGAAAATTTAAGCAGGCATTACTTGGGACTAAGCCTCGGTTGAGTTGAATTTATTACACGCAGTTCTAAAAGGAAAATGGAAAAGCAAAGATTGTAAATTTGTTTAAAAGTAGTAAAGTAGGATGGGTAACCTGCGCATACAAGCATGCTTGATGAAATGTAGATGGACAGTTATCACAACATATCAGCTCACCACCATCACCACAACGCCCACAACTATCATCATTTTGATCCATCTCATCAACTTGTACTGTTCGAGGAGTGGTTTTCTTAGCCTTGTATTCAGCTGACCAAGCCTCAAGCTGACATAATGTGAACGGCTTATCAGATTCCAAGAAAAGATTCAAACAGGGCCTATTCAACTTGAAACCAGCATGACTTTTGAATGTGGAGATGGATAATACTTCGTCACAGCACTTGCACAATATCCCATCTCTAGTAATAAAGCCATCTTTCACCACAGAATTGTCTTTTAGGTTACGGTACTGGATCACTTCGTTAAGAGAAACTGCCCCAGAATGAATTAACCAGGACAATACTGTTCTTAAAGCAAAGGCAGGCCACTTTCCCTCAATGAAGTGCTTTCCACCCCTATTAAGGCTTCGCAGGAGTAACTTGCATCTGCCTTTCTGGCTCTTCCTTTTCCTTAGAGGTTTGGATTTTCCAAAAGGCCTCTTTTTTGAAGATTTGAAGGCTTTATTTTTTATGATAGCTGAAATCAAAAGATCATCATCCTCTGGACGAAATTTCTTAAATTTCATTGATCCAATTTTGTTGTGGATTCCCTTTTCATTGGCTTCACAGAATCCATTCTTATTAGATACTACTTTGTCATGTTGATACAAATTTGACAGTTTCATTTCAGATATTTTTCTTGATTTCTTCTGGGCTTTCTTTTTAGATACAGAGCTTGCAGCATAAGATAAGCCTTTGGTCCTTGTTTCTATACATTGAATGTCCACCAGATCATCATTTGAACAATTTGAATCAAAAGCCACAGTCTCCTGCAACATAGAACTCAGCTGATTGGCAATCTTCAAATCAAAGCCTTTTACTTCTTCCTCAAGATATACTAGGGAACTAGTGCTGCTATCTTGATTATTACCAACTGTCTCAGATGTTCTTGTCAAAGTTGGTGTATTTCCCAAACTGACAGGAACATCAAACAAGGAACTACCAGCCAGCTCAGAGGTACTATCAGATCCACAAGTTGGCAAGGAACTTAGATCTGAAACACCAGTGTCACTCCCTGAGATTTTCCTATATTTAGGAGGTGGCCCATTGAAGGTGTCCAGTAAGGGCATGGACCTTTTATCAGGAGATGGTAAACCGTTACCACAGTTGCCTTCCCCTCCTTGTGACTGTTTGAAGTCCAGGGAACTTTCATCAACACAGAACTCTTTTTTTATACACTGATCATTCTCAAGCACACTATCTTCAATAAGAGAAGGGCTACAGGGAAGAAATTTCATACTTCTCTCATTAAGCTGGTTTTCTACAGCCTCTACATATCTGGCAAAAGTTCTGTTTGCTATGACTGTTTTCCCTTCTTTAAGACAGCGTATTGATTTATCAATGAAAACAACATTTGCAAAAGGATCAAGAAGATACCATAAAGTAGCCAGCGATGAAGTTGTTTCCAAGTTAACCAGTTTCTCTTCAATCTCTGCAACCATACTAAATAGGTCAGACCTAAACTGATTCATGTCAGCCCACACCTTAGACTCCTCTTCCGGTATGACACTATTTTCATCAGTGAACAAACTCTCACCACAAAATAGCCAAGCTCTACGAAATTCCCGAATAGGCCTTCCTTCAGGTGACCTGTAAACATATTCTCCAATACCATTATATTTACTACTCCTTTTACGCCTCCCAATTACCCATCCAGCCGCTCTTAGTAAGCGATTGATATGGTAACGCAGAATAGGACGAGGATCATTTGGAGTATCTTTAATCATAGACAATTCTGCTTCATCTAGTTCCACAAAGCAGGAATCCTTCCATTTTGATTTGGCTGATCGAACAACCCTTGAATTTTTTGCAACAAGTGGAGAATTGCCTGCCAACAACTTGGTCACATGGCTCTCCTGAGAAGCAGGTGAGGTTATTGTTTTACAGGCATTCTTTCCATCATTACCATTCAAGTGATACGATTTCAGTTTTAAGTCATCACTTTCACCCACTCCATGTCCTCTGTCCGGCTCATGATGCCCCTTCTGAAGATAGAAACAAGAGGTGACCCCCTGGCTAGTTGATTCAACTACATGAGAAGTCACAGTGTGAGAGTGAGCCAAAGTTGTTTGTGGGGGTATAACTCTAACAATACCATCTGAGGAAGCCACCGAGTTTAAACCTCTGACTATATAAGGCCTGCCGTTAGAAAACTCTTTCTTTTCTTCTGTTTTCCCTGCAGACTCCTCTATGGTACCATAAGAATTCTCACGCACCATCAATGCTGAATTTTCATTGTAGAAGCAACATGAGGTGTTGATTTGCTTACTGTAGTCACATTCAAAATTGTTAACTCCAGTAACAAGACACCTCTTTTTGCTTTCATCACTTCCAAAGAACACCTCTGAAAAAATCTGATGCTCATTGGTAGAACCCTCAAACCCATCATCACACAAATTATCAAATTCTTTGGGGAACAACATAATTGCTTGGTATAGCTTTCCTCAATATTGGAGTGCACTTACCTATAAAGTAAAATTTTAATTTAAAACACAAATGCAGTAATTCAGGTTTCCTTATTCAATAAATACAAGCAAAAGAATTTCAAAATCAGTCACTACCAAGAGTAGCTTATATTTAAATTTCCCATAAGTTCATTGCTACTATATCTAGTTCAAGGCCACTGCATGAAAATGATACAAATAAAAATGTGTTTCTTGTGTGCATAATGAAAAGAAGATTAATCCTGCCACAAATGCATAGATAGTATGATGTCCTTTCAAGAGTTAAAACATGCACTATCATTTATCCTCCATATCAAATTTGTAAATGTGAAATACCCTACATTTTAAAGATATCATTTAAATTATAAACCCATTTCCAGAAACCGCATTTTAAAAACATTTTCCCCGAATAAAACAGAGTAAATAGTATCATATATGAAAAGATATCACTCCACTCCGTACAAATTATCTATTCTTATCAAATCGAGAGCACTTCAGAAACAGAGGCATTTCAATCTAGTGTTTAAATTACAAATCTATGCTCCAATATATTCCCAGAGATCAATGAAAGAAGAGATTGTGCAAATGACATTGAAAAATAAAAGAAAAGATCTATTCATCTGTCTATCTATCTATCAATCAAGAAGTATCGAATGTGTCTATGATGATTCCATCGTCCATTTCTTGAGAAGTCTCTCATTTAGTCATTTAAACGTTTGTTTCAATATGAAAATTGATAACTGGCATGCAGGCCAAATTCTTGCTAAATACATCTTCATAAAGAAGATATGCATTAGAGAACAGTGTCACCAAAATTATAAATTCAACTTCAACTTTCCAAACTCCAATGTAAGTTTACCTTGAACAAAATTTAAAACAAGATCAAGTAAATAAAACAACAAAGTCAAATAAAACAGGAAGACCCACAAACAGAAGCCCATATCTGAAAGTTAGATGGAATTTGAAAATCTAACAAATGAAACCGGAAGATTCTTACGTTCCCAGGTAAAAATCCACCCACAGAATAGCAGGGTCGAGCCTTTGGTATTCGAAAATCGCAAACTCCCACCCACATTCACCCGCATTTGAAGGAAAACCAAATTCAGACTCCAACGAAAAACAGATTATAAGAGGAAAGGAAACATCCTCGAATTCAACAAATCAAAAAGGCGAAATACACTTTAAGGAACAAAAAATCCGCACACCAAGTAGAAAGATCACATCTTTAAGTTGAAGAAATGAAGAATTCACACCCGCTTTGGTTCAATCAGCTGAAGTAGAGAAAAGGGAATCCTCACCTTCACAGTGCCGTCGAAAATTAGGGTTCTCTTTGAATCTACATAGCCAAGCTTCTGTACCCAAAGGGCCAGGTTTCGCTGAGCCCCATTTCGCACAGAAATCGCCAGTAACTGAGTAAGCACGTTAGGGTTTGGATTTGGATTCGGAAAACCCGGGTTCTGCCCCAAAGTCACACACAGATGTCAAGCAAGATTTGTCATTTTCTCTCTCTACCATCTCTACAATGTGAACGTATGACATTTATGTACTCAATGCTGTGTCATTCCCACTAAAAAGCTTTTGCTTTTTTTTTTTCTTTTTTTTTTTTTTTTGTTTTCTCTTATCTTCTTATCTGCCTCTCTCTCTCTCTCTGTTTATCTTATTAGTTTGAGTTTGCTTAGTGCTCGGCAATGGAATTGCCTTAATTCATCCAACTCATCAAAGCTTCACACTGCCTTTTCTTTCCTTAAATTTTAAGGCTCAAACATTAATCATCATTAGGATTATGTGGATCATGTACTAGATATACCTTGCATTGTGGACCTACTTTTAAATTATGTGTCACATATTTTATACGTGTTATATAATATGTTATTGTAGACTATGGTTCATGATATAACAATTGTTCTAAATTTAAACTTCATGATAATTTATGTAATTAAGTTGAAGTCTTACGGCTTAGCTTTTAATCTTAGCTTTAAAATGTGATCAACATCTATTTTTATATTATTTTTCAAATAAAAAAATGCAGAGTTATTTGAAGTTCAGTTGCCTTTATCGACTAATGCGGGCATTCGGGGATGGTACACACAATGTTATGTGGACCATAATAAAAAGTACATTTTTAATATACTAAATATATATTACTTTTGTACTGAATGTACATTATTTTACAGTAGACAAAATATGGTCCACACAAGTTGTGTGGACCATGGTCCATACAATAATGATTGGGTCGAAATAGGTCAGGCTCCTTCGTAGGGGCCTGATAGTACTAATGTCCACGTGTAAGCGTTATATGTACTGAATATAAAATGAAGGTGTGAATAAGGAAAAGTATTTTATTAAGAGGATGACCTAATACAATCTAAATGAATATCCCGAGGGCCAACTGACTGCGGTCGGGCAGCTCTGTAAATAGCCTACTGATCGTTCCAAAAGTCCCTCTCACTCTAGCCACTGTGGATATTTATAGCCTCTAGCCGGGAACAACCCTCCGGCCTACCGGCATGTAATCCACGTAACATCCACGTGCCCCAACCTGGTGAGCACTCTCTGTCAGCGCCTAGCGTCGCCACGTGCCCCTCTCTAAAGATACTATCTTTCCGTAGAACAAAGGTACGCTGATCGGGCAGAACATCGGTTGGGTCCGACCGTTTTCAAGTAGGAAAGCAATATAAACGTACCCAGACGACCGGTACCGACCAGCATTCTGTTGCATCGCTCGGGTCAAGGAATCTCGTACTAACCCATCCGGAGAACATCTTAAGTCGGTCGGAATATATCCTACCAAGAGCCCCCCAGCCCTGGTCGTTTTGGACCGCCCGGGAGAAAACGGCGTGGGATGAAAAGATGACTTCACTCGGGCCTCCGACCCCGACCGCCCAGTTGTCTTCGCTCACGCCACGTGTCAGTCTGCAGGTACCTTGAGATCTGAAACGGTCACCTCACGCAAGTGGGTGACTTTCCCGCCAAAACTTTTCCTATAAATAGGCCTCTTTCAGGTTCATTTCAACTTTTACAACACTCTGAAAATTGATCGGCTTCCTGAGCCATCTGCACTGTAGATTGATCGGACATTGCGCTTCCTCAACTTCCCAACAAGCTCTACTTATCAGTAAGTCAGCTCTTCCACTTTCTTCACTTTACTTTCCTTACTTTTCGCGTAATGCCCGTCCCTACTGACCCCCTAACTCGATCGGCTATAACTCGACCTTCTCCGCTGAACCGACCGTCTCCTTTATGAAGGGGATATGTCAGATTCAGACAGCCAAAACGTCTCGGGAGCGGACTACGACAACACGATCGAGGACGGTAGCGAAGAGACAATGGTGGAAGAGCCTTCACCCGAGGTTACTACCATCGATCGGCGACCGAGCGCGGTTCCGGAACCAGAAGAAAAGTCCTCGAACTCGGAAGACTCATCTTCATCAAGTGGCTTGAGCAGTAGCAGCGACGATAGCGGGAGTACCTCTACTAGCGGCCGCAAATCCTCGACCCATCTAGATAGGGAGACGCCCACTCGTACAATCAGGGCCGAACACGAAACTCACACCTCTCCCCGCGTCCGGGAAGCTTTGCACGATTCGGCTGATGAAAAGCCGACCCAAGAAGCACCTGCAGAGCCCGAGTTCGTCTTCCTCAACAGTGAGAGTGTTGATCAGCAAGAGTGCCTGTTAACGACCCGTGAAGCAGCGAAGATCTCGGCCCTACTGAACAGGCGAGTAAAGTTTGATACCCGCAGGAGCCTTGGGGGAATCAAGGAACAGCACCAAGGGAAGTGGATCGGGATGCATTTCGACTCTCTTCTAGCCCCGATCACCTTTCCCTTTTCAGGCCTACAAACCGCCTTTTTAGGCTATTACCGGGTTTTGCCCGCCCAGATCTGCCCGAACGCCCATCGGATATTGGCGTGCTTCCCCCAAATTTGTGCTAGGCACAACGCCGTATGCTCGATGGAGCTCTTCAACTACATCTACACCGTCAAGCCCCTAGCAGCCATATACGGTGGTGGATTCCTGATGATTCAATCCCGGGACCACCTATGTTCGATCGATAACCTACCCGGAAACAACCGTGGGTGGAAGAATAGGATCTTCTCAGTCGAATACGACCCCTGAATTTTGCCGGTCGACCAAACGTGGGGTACACATATAGGAAGCATGTACAATAACCGGCCACTCGGGCCCTCCGCGAAGCGACCTTTCGCATTTCATGCGAATTTTACGAATACAAGGTCTTTCGATCGAGAGAGGCATACGACAATGCCCGACTGCCGCCGCCCCGATACGACCTAGAGCTGAAGTATAAGCCACGACCGATTACGGTATCGATCGCCGTATCGGCACCTCAAACTAAACCGACCGTTGAAGGTCTATCACCCGTTATACTTTCTCAGCCTTTTTGCGTCGATCGACCGACAACTAACAATGTAATCTTTGCTTGCTTTGTTGCAGGAATGGGTCCAACCAGGGGTTTCCCGACCGCCAGTGTTCCCCGAGCCCCCCGAGCTAAGATGACGCTCGGGAAAAAGTCTACTGACGCCGGTCCAACAGCCGACCAAGAGGTCGGTGACACCTCCATCCCGACTGCACATCCACTAGGGGCTTTGACAACCACTTCCGAAGGGGTCCTTCACACCGACGCGACAACCGACCCGCTGGCCCCACGAGCCCCCGGACGGAAGGGTAAGGAGAAAGCGTCCGGGAAGGACATAGAAGAGACGGGCGCCTTTAAGCGTCGTCGAAAGCAGAGCCCCCCGACCGAAGTTGTCCTGAGCGGCGGACAATCAGGCGGGGAACTATCTCTCCTCTCCCGGATCAACAATCTATTACCGATCGGGGATGACATGAGCGGCTGGGTGCCGGCCCAGATAGCTGAGAAAGGTGCTCGAGACTTGGTCGAGGTTTGTTCTATTACCCCTTTAACTTTGCCTTTAACTTTTGATCGTTTTCGAGTCAACCACCTAACTTAAGATTTTGTCTTGCAGGCTTCACGAGCGATCCTCGGTCTTCAATACCGGGCCTTGTTGGCCAATGAAGCCGAGGTTCTGAAGAAGGTTGCCGAGCGACGGGGCAAAGAGATCAGCAACCTTCAGAAGGAGCTGAATGCGGCTAAGGACGCCCAGGCGGTGGCCGAAAAAGATGCCCGAGTTGCCTTGAAGGAAGCGGGCGAACTGAAGGCCCGACTGGACAACTTGGAGGGCCTGGCCAAGTTCTTGTGTCGCGATGAGCCCTCGGCCGACAAGTTTATCCGAGCACTCATGAAGAACAAGCTCGGGGAAGAGAAGGTCTAGACCTTCGATCACTGGGCCTATGCGTCCGGCCAATGGGCGATGCAGGAGGAAACCCGAACGATAATGGAGGAGGTGTTTGAGGGCGACGAACTGAAGGCGGTGCTGACCACCCTTCCAGAGGAGATTGCCGACCCCGGACCCACACCTTTTACCGAGCCATCCCCATCAGGAGCCACGGCCGAGCCAAGCGCCAGCGAGAAGGCTGAAGGGAAGGTCGTATGATCACCGACCGACTCTGAAGCTTTTTTATTTTGTAAAGATTTTTTGTTATCTTGACTCAGTTGGGAGCCCGGTCCCGTTTGTACCGGGTAACTTTTTAATTTTTTAAATGAATGACCTGGTTGTCTATTATTGTTGGTTTTTATTTTTTTTTACGTTTTTGTGCTTTGCTTAAGCTTAACGGTTTCCGCTTTGCGTCTTACGCTCGACCAACAAGCCGACCAAGTCTTACTGCTCGATCAACCCGATTAGACTGATCAACTCGATTATCCTTACTTGTTAGCCTGACCAACAAGCCGACCAAGTCTTATTGCTTGATCAACCCGATTAACCTGATCAACTCGATTAACCTTACTTGTTAGCCCGATCCCTTAGCCTTAGCCCCCACACTGCTGGACACACGAGGAACGAGTGAGTGCGGCAGTGGTTAAGAGGTTAGATACCGTCGAGGTTGATCGGGCACACGCCGGTTACCACACTCTCCCAGTCAATGTCGTTATGCGACTGTTCGCCAGAAATGAGATTTACTTGACGGGCATTGTGAATTGCCCGGGTGAAACATGAGGGACTATTAAAGTCATTTGAGTTTTTACCCCTATCGGTCGATGCCGAGTGAGAGGCCTTTACCCTTATCGGTTATAACCGAAAATTGAGATCCCGGTATTATCGGGCAAGTTTTAGCATTCGCCCATCTTGATCATTGATGCTGAGCCTTCGAGGGTTCCAAGTCGGTTAGATCATGATCAAAGTCGACCTCTAGAGTTGATTTATTAATCTACTTACTATTTACATATCTTAATAGTCAATCGAGCCCCCGTACGTAGACGAGCGAGCAATCATCGACCAACCATACATACTTCGGTTCCGTACGCAGACGGTTATACACTCAAACATTACTTTATACATATGACAAAAGATGGGTGTGCCCACTCGTAGATTGAGCCCCCACCCCATCCAAACATACATACAAAAGTTAA